AAAGAAACTGCGTTTGCAAATCAAATAAAAAATCTATGGGCGGCCTATGTTCTCAGCTGTGAACTTTTTATATTATGTAAAGAAAACGGCATTAGTATTCTGTGGTGCGCATGGCCCTTCCTCGTCCGACTCCGCGGCACTGCCAAGATGTTTTGTTTCTAGAACTATCCGCAGGATGTAGCTAATGACGGCTAGCTCCTTGCTATTATAAAAATGTTTTCATTTACACTTTTAAATTATTTTTGAAAGGAGAAGACAGTCCAATAGAAAAGTCCCCATCCATCGCTTTACAAACATGTTTGAAGCAGGCTATACTGCGAGCTAAAATTGAGCATTCGAATCTTTATATTTATAATATCCTTTATTTTCTGCCGACTTCCAAAAAGGAGACGGTGCTCAATTCCACTGTATGTTTTTTTTTATGTGTGTTAACTCATAACTTTTTACTGGGTGAACCTATTACGATGATTCTTTTTTTATATGAAAGCTGATGCTTCTCGTGTGGTCCCATATGAATTTGATCAATGTCAGACCAATAGTTTTTGAGTTATTCTTAATAATTTATATTGAAGTCGGCTGTACAAAATTTTTATTTTTAGATTATCTGTATCGTATTTCTTGTTTATTCGTCTGTTACAAGTCTCAGGTCAGGGGCTCTTTTGTTCCCTATACATATTTGCCATAATCGTCACGCTTAGGACGTTGTTTGGCATACACACTACGAGACGTCTCTCGCCTTTATCGCTGCCTATCAACCTTTTTGTAGGTATTTCCGTTAGCGTAAACATGAACAATCATACCGCCATGAGTGATGAGTGATGAAATCTTTCGGATATGTCCTATAGTTGCCTAGGGTGTTGTAACCCACGAGAAGAAATGCAGTGATCGATTTTTATGCTTCAGATTAGAGGACTCTATTCACCTTTGCCTAAAGTAGTTTTGTAACCTACCTTGCACGCGATTCCGAGACAGACGATTGTGTAATATAGGAAGTGCATAGTCGGCTGCATCTAAAACCAGTCGGTTGCATGGGCAACCCGCTCCGCTGCAATTACCCACTGCTCGAATAATAAACCGATCTAACCAGCCTATAATCTGTCTATTCATGTAACTGTGGTGTCAGCTTACCGCACGCTTACGTGTTTGTATCCCTGCTTGTTTCTTATATTGTGTAATTACACGAAAACAATGTTTGTGTGTTTGTTAGTGTCTGCTGTAATTGCAGTTTTTTAGACATACGACCTTTTTATCCTCCTGACAATCGTGGCGTTAAGGGAATGGAAAACCCAGTCGTGGACTTTGCCATCCATTACTTCTTATTAAAGTCCAGTGCTAAACGGCCTTTTTTATAGAATAAAAAGCGAGAACACAGTCCACCTGATGGTAAGTGGTTGCTGCGGCCCACAGACATCTTTTTTTATAGGATAGGGTGACAAACGATCACACAGTCCACCTGATGGTTAGTGGTTGCTGTGACCCAGTGACATCTACATCTATCCTCTATTACGAATCACAATGCAGATGCGTTGTCACCCGTGAGGACTAAGATGGAATGCCTCTTTTCCAGTAAAAAAGGTCTGCGGTTCTATACGCTCTCCATACGAAACACAGCAGCATTAAGCTGCTATTTTACGCTGGTATTCTGCGAGAAAGTGGTCCTTCCCCGGTCGAGCCGACCCATTCGTGCTACAACTAAGATAGGTGCAGCATAGATCTACCACGGAAAAAAATCCTCCCTCATAGCTTGCCACATTCTGCCATAGTTGCCCTAGCAGGCGGGTTGGCAAGTGTTTATTATTTTGAGTTGTTGTCAGGAAGACGCTGCTGCCCGCCTCCAGTTTAAGTGATGATTGCATGGTTTAATACATGAAATTATTCGGGTTGATAAAGAAGAAGAAATAGTAATATACTCGTAGGTACCTTTTTTAATTTTAGAACGATAAAAAATCTCATCGTCCACCTGATGGTAAGTGGCTACTACAGCCTATCGATACCATAAGCAACTTCTCAAATGTATGTCACCCCATAGGACAAAGTCAAAATGCCTTGCAGCCATTCGTGGATGCAATGTTATGTCTATTGTTTGGTAAAGCTGGATAGACAATTGAACGATGAAAGGCGGCACAATCTAAAAGTTCGTAATGAGTCGAAATTGCCTTTGCTACCTTACAAACACTAGTTTAAGTAACTGAAAATTAGTAAAAAAAATGTTTTATGTTTGGGGATTTTTTTTATTTTTCCTGTAATGTTAAGTATAGAATTCTTAGTCTCGGTCTATATTTCTTTTTATTCCTCTGTCTAGGTCTCTAAAAATCTGGTATCGGTCGGACCTTATTAGATTCAAACTGCCTTGTGGATACTTGTGATTATGAATATTATAAAATAGTATGTGTGGTATACACAAACAATTGCATCATGTGTAATGGGCTTGAATGCTTCCGATGAAGGAAACTTTTTCTCAACTTTTTTCTTGACAATGCCTACTCCCACAATTATCTTACGTAATTATAAAAGGTGACGGACAATCTAAGAGCATACTTATTCAAACTATGCTTATGTATGGGTACTTTATGGGGACAAGGTACTTAGTGCTGGGCGTGACCTGACATTTTTTCAAATTTGTGAGATTATTCGAAAGTAAAAAGATTAGCTGGTAGTAATTAGTTAACAATTAATGAAAGAGTGGTATCGATCAAATTTCCGAAAAAATGTGTAAATAATATTGATCAATAAACACATACATACAATCTTTATGAGACATTCTAGGTAGCTTTTTTACTTACCTTTATCGTCAAGTGTTTAAGGCTGATTGAGATGTCTTTTTAATTGTAACCGCATTGTTCTTTTTTGGTGTATGATTTAGTCTGGCATGAAACTATTTACGCAATGAAACAATTTAAAATTGTAATTTATAATGTATTATACAGTCATCTAGTGCTTTGTGTAAGAAGTTTTAATGTTTTATTACTTTACGTTAGTTAAAGAACTGTTTGGATAGATGGCGCTTGAATACTTTAGAAACTTATTTCTTAGTATGCTGTCTAGATGGCAGTATACAATCATGTTCATTTAAAAAAAATACTATACACTTATATAGTTCTTATGTATCTTTTTAATAATACTGTTTTAAATTGAATTAAAACTTAAATAATATTGAAACACGAAAAGAATAATGACGATTCATGTTTGTATTTGTAATGAGGGCGAATGATCTTTCGAATACTAGATGTCGCTAGTTGACACGGAAGTATAATATAATTATAAACTTAACTTTAGATGTCTGTCCTTAACCATATTCGTTTTTCTGTTAAAATAATAAAATTATACTTTAAAAAATCTCTTATTATATTTGTTTATAACAATTTCAGTGCAGCCTTGGAGTGGCGGCGTAAGAGAAAGGAGAATCCACTATATACCTTATATGATCCCGTGGGTGACGTAAGAGGCGACTGTGGTAAACTAAACCAGCAAATGGGCAGCAGCATCTTCCTGAGAACAACTCAAGTCAACCCACTTGCCACGCGTGCTAACTATGGATAAATTTAGGAGACAACTATGAGGAGACCTGTGTTAAGCAGTGGACTTTTGATGAACTAATTGCTTATTACTCCATACCCCTCTTAGAAGTTAATTGTGTAAAATATTACATTGTAAATAAATTTTTAGAAAAAATCCCCGCTGGATCTCTTCCTGGTTCTTCCTAGAACTGAGGTTTTTTCCGAACCAGTCTTAAAGCTTAAATTACTTTCAATAAGCATTCTTCTATCAATATTGAATAAAAATGATTCTATTCTATTCTAGGGAGGACTGTGCCTATTAATAACACATAGGCTGTAACATTACCTTCGCTACATTGAGCCTTGCCCTGTCCACCGCGCTGCCCCAATGCGTGTTAGTGGACCATCACGATGTGTTGAAGTGGATTTTTTCTAATTTGTCAGATATGCAGGTTTCCTCACGATGATTTCTTTCGCCGCCGAACAAGTGGTAAATCAGTACTTATTATGAAAGTACAATCAACAATTTCATTAATGTAAAGTGAAACTTAGCGTAAACGCTAAGTTTAGCCTAAAGGGACTAAAGCCCGCGAGCTATAACGGCCTTATTCATTTATGTTTTACTTACTAATAAAATATATAAATATTATTAGAATTTAGAACTAATTTAAGTATATTGATATGAACCGTTTAGAGGCGATGTAAAAATATCCAATACCCTATACCGTTCCGTGGTTGTTGTTTGATTGACAGCATTGGCAGCAACGTCTAATTACCGTGTGAGAGAGGCCTTTCTTCAGCAGTGCACGTTTGATAGGCTGTAACGGTAACGATATAATGTATTAATGTTTGAAAATTATATATACCTACGTGTAAATAATCTACCTATATATGTGTAAATATAACATACTATAGTACCTTTATAAAACCACACACAGTTTAAACGCACTAAAGATACTGTTGAACTTCATTTCTGTCCGAAAGACTGAATTACCTCTACAGAACTTCCGTTTTATAAATAATATACGTATATATAGTATACATACTTACATACATAAGCTATACTAACAAAAGCGGGTCATAACGAGAAAAGCTCAGTTATTTACATAACAGGGATTATTGAATAATTCAACTTTTGTTTCAAAACTGATTTATTTTGTTGGAACAGTGTATACATAAAAATAACTTGTTACGGGTAATTAATTATGATCTTTACAGTTGAAGAAAATTAAATAAGTATTATAAAATACTTTATTTTAAGTGCTTTGTACAATTTTAGATTTACAGAAACAATAAAAATATCAATAACCACTAGCAGACGCTAATTCTAAATGACTACATTTTCTATTTAAGCTTAGAAAGTAAGACTTTCGACTTTCGATTACATAAAATAATTATTTACACAATTAAATTCGCTTACAATTATCAACTTAAAATTACGTTGTGATATAAATAGTTCTTAAAGTTTGACTAACATTTTTAACCAGTAGCGAGGCATCACTGTCATAACACAAGCCAGTCTTCTTTGATCATATCGGACCCTTTCTCGGCTATCATGATCACGGGCGCGTTAGGGTTGCCACTGATTATTGTTGGCATGATACTCGCGTCGATAACCCGCAAGTTTGCTACACCGTGCACCCTCAGTCTGGGATCAACGACCGCGTCTTGATCGTGCTTCGGCCCCATCTTACACGTGCCGGTCGGATGATAAATCGTAAACGTGAAGTGTTTCAAACTGCACTCCCAGTACTCGTCGCTGAACAGAGCCAGGTGTTGGCAGCCCGGCAATGGAATGTTGTGAGGTCTAGATCCATATCTTTGGAATGCTGTTGTGTTTGACAGCGCGAAAGCTATCCGTATACCCTCAGTGAGAACTTGTAAATCTTCCTTATAAGCAAAGTAATTAGGCTCTATCGATGGAGGCTGGAATGGATTCCTGCTGCGGAGCTTCACCCAACCGGAGCTCTTTGGGCGCAAAAGCAAGGGGAGTATCGTCCAAGTCTCGGCGTTTTCAATCGGCTTGTACACAGTATTGTATACTCGGTCGCGTAAATTCAAGATTTTTCGTATCTGTTCACCACCGTCGGAGTTGACCGAGCTCGCTGCAAAATGGAATTGTATGTCAGGCCAATTGCCCGACGGCGGGGCGTACTTGGTGTTTACGAAAGCGAGCCCCTCGACGCCTTGCGTAGTCATCGGGCCTTTTTCGTATAGAATGTATTCCATTGCGACAGCTAATGTTTGGAAACGGTCCTTTTTGAAAGTGACCGGTTTGTTTACTATGAACGTTAAACCGCCAAGTCCGACGTGGTCCTGTAGGTTGTGACCGACTTTCAAATTCGCGATGAGCGGTATGCCGTGCTCCCGCAGATGATCCGCCGGACCGATCCCGCTTAGCATCATTAATTTGGGCGTCGCCAACGCGCCCGCCGACATTATTACCTCTCTCTTTATTCGCACTTTTTGTTTCTGACCGTTCCGAACGAACTCGACGCCGTAAGCTTGCTTCTTTCCTGGGTTAATTAAAATCCGCGTTACCTGCGCTCCCAGGGCAATATGGAGGTTGTTTCTTAGGCGGACTGGTCTTAGGAAAGCTTTAGCCGTACTACATCGACTGCCGCGACGCATAGTCGCCTGGGTCAGCATGAAACCGGTTTGCTTCGCGCCGTTTATATCGCGAAATTCGTAACCCAGTTCCATACCACCTTTCAAGAATGTTATCGATAATGGAGTACGCCACGGTGCCTCTTGTACTGTCAAGTACCCACCAGCCGAATGGTAGGGAGTGTTCACGAGGTATGGATTTCGGTTGTCCTCGGATTTCAAAAAGTATGGTAAAACTTGGTCGTAGGACCAGCCGGGGTTGCCGAGCGCTTCCCACAGATCATAGTCGTTCCGATTGCCTCTAACGTATACCATCGCGTTGAGGACACTGCACCCGCCCAACACTTTGCCCCTGGGCCAGTTGCAGCGGTCGCCGTTCATAGCGAGACAGTACGAGCGGTTGTTGGAAGGCGTCGTTTGAAATTTCCAGTCCATGTCGGAGAGCTGCGTGTACCCAGCCAGCGCTGGAATGTCGGAGATCTCAGTTTCGTCTTGACCGGCTTCGAGCAGCAGCACTGTCCAATTGCCGATCTCGGACAGTCGCGATGCGACCACAGCGCCGGCCGACCCGCCGCCGACTATCACGAAATCGTATATCGGCATTATCTGAAGTCAGAAACAAAAGATAAAAATAATAAGTTAAAAGTAAGTGCGTTAAGTACGTTTACTTGGTAGAGTCACGCTCTAGCTTTTATATGGCTGCAGCATGAATGGATTAACATGGCCGAAAAACGTAAATCTGTAACGACGGAAAATTTAAACGTTCGAAATTGGGTGAAAGTTAAATTATAAAATTCAACATACATGCATATAAGAGCCGTGGTAGGTCAGATGGTCAGCGCTCGCTGTTAGTTTCACAGTACGCGAGCAACCCGGGTTCGATCCCCGCCGGCACCAATGACATAGTTAATTGTAATTTTAAGTGCTAACCACGTGCTCGGCGATGAAAGAAAACATCGTGAAGAGACATGCATGTCTGAGAAAAAAAAATCGAAGACATGTGAAGTTAGTCAACACGCATTGGGGCAGCGCGGCGGACATTTCCTTACCCTTAAACCCTCTCTCAGAAATGAGAGGAGGCCTGTGCCCAGCAGTGGGACGTATATATGTATATACGCTGCAGATTTAAATGAGACGGTTGTATCGCCATCTATTGGCAGCTATAAGATAATTAATAGAATCAGGCGTTATTTTGCGGTAGGTAATCCCATTGTATGAAAGATTTCATTACGCGGATCTTTGCTCATTATTTTATAACATCAGAAAGCCATAACAACTTTCTGGCACTTCCCATAGTCGCCTCTTATGACGTCCACGAAAGGAAATAACGCTGCTGTGTTTCGTATGGTGAGTGTAGAGAACCGGAGACCCCTTTTGCTGGAAACGAGGCATTTCGTCTTAGACTTCAAGGGTGACAACGCATCTACAACAAAATTACATCTACAAAATTTTAAAGCGAGCGCTTATCCCCCGAACTACTTCGGTTCTACTGAGCTCTGAGTATTATAACAATTATAGTTAAAACCACTAAATGGAAACGAATTTCTGTAAAAATTCTAACATTCAGCATAAAATATAACTACATAACTCTATCACATCCGTAGGATGCATTTTATAGAGAGCCACGCTGTATATGTAGCTATAATAAAGTTGTTACGCGAATGCGTCGGCTCGACCGGGGAAGGACCACGCTTTCACAGAATAACAGCGTAAAATGACAGCTTAATACTGCTGTGTCTCATATGGTGAATGTAGAGAACCGGAGACCCTTCAAGGGTGACAACGCAACTGCATTTTGAGTTGCAAACGAGGATAGATGTAGACGCCTATGGGCTACAGCAACCACTTACCATCAGGTGGACTATGTGCTCGATTGTCACCCTTATCCTATAAAAAAATACTGCCACTAAACCGCAAGGGCTAGGCCTAGTTCAATACATAACGTTTTTATACTTACAGTATTAACTTCCGTAATGTAAGACTCCGGATCGTATTGCTGGTATCTGAAGTACGTGATCCCGAGAGCCAGGAGTGGTATCAGACCCAGCACTGTGATGGGCGACGGTGCCAAACTTGCTAACGCTCCAGCCGCCTCCATCTTTGCCTTCCAAACTCATCTACTAACTAACTAATATTTACAACTTATTCTACTAGTCGCTTATCTAAGGCCAACTCTCTATCTTCTTCCTCTGTTCGCCCTCTGACAATATTTTCGGCGTGTAATTCCTAATGCCCGCCTTCTTCGGCGTGGGACCCGCTTTTAAGCTAGCTTTCTGCGCGTCGCTGAGATAGCCTTTCAAACGAGCACTTTTTATATCCTCGTTGTTGACCTCGAAAAGCAGCTGATAGCGCTTTTCTTTCGTTATTTTCACAGGCTTGTATAGTTCCTTGTTAACTTCTCTGTAGTGATCGTTTTTGTATAGTGACGTACAATAATAATCGCTGTTGGAAGATCTGCTTGAGCGAATACCACAAGCGCTGGACCCGCTTCTATACCCGCTGCTCTCGTTCGATGAGTTGTCGCTTTTGAAGCTGTCGGCGCTCCTTCTCGGTCTGTGGCGCTTGTACTCGCCGCAGTCGCAGTCAGTCGATCGGCTGTCCACGGAGTTACCCCGGTAATGGACCGGGTCCTCGTATTTGTTGTCCTTGTAATGTCTCACTTGTGCGACACCGCCGTGCGCGACGTAGGATTGGTCTTGACCCATGATGTGACGCTCGATCTCACCCTCCTTTCCGTAGTTTTATTTCTGGAATGTTATAATTTATATTTAGAAATTTTATGCAATACATGTCGTGCATAATATAGTTATGGTGGAATCGACGAAGCAACACTTGTATTATTTTTTAAATTTGTACGTGCACAAGGGCAAACACTGCTATTTCGCGGCAGAAATGAGACTATTATAGAAAGCCTCAGGCATTAAATTCACCTGTTTACACAATTTTGTGTACGACGTTTAAAGTAAGTAATACACAAATAAGACAATATTATAATTTGAAAATTCCATTTTCTACGTGGTAGAGCCCATGCTGCAGCTATATTAGTAGTATAGTTGTAGCACGAATGGGTCGGTTCGACCGGGGAAGTACCACGCTCTCACAGAATACCAGCGTAAAATGGCAGCTTGTCACTGTTGTGTTTCGTATGGTGAGTGTAGAGAACCGGAGACCCTTTTTACTGGAAAAGAGGCATTCTATCTTAGTCCTCACGGATGACAACGCATTTGTATTTCGATTCGCAAAAGAGGACAAATGTAGATGTCTATGGGCCACAGAAACCACTTACCATCAGGTGGACTGTGTGCTCGTTTGTCACCCTATCCTATTAAAAAAATCATATTTTAATATCTTTTTAACGGAATAATATACAACTCCAGACTGCCATAAAAGCACTCTCATCAACTTACTTCTTATTATAGGAAAATTCGTTATCTATGCAGGACGATTTCAAGGTGAGAGGAAAGTAGAGTCAGTAGAATCTCTACCATAATCAGTCTATACTATGGGAAGAAGCAAGCGTGCAATAGTGTACTGTTTACCGGCAAATTTATGTTATTTGTAACTTTTTTTAGCATCTTAATTTTCTGCCGACTTCCAAAAACGAGACGGTACTCAATTCGACTGTATGTTTTTTTTTATGGTTGTTACCTCATACTCGTAACTTGTTACTGGGTGAACCGATTTACATGATTCTTTTTTTATATGAAAGCTGATACTTCTCGTGTGGTCTGGGAATTTGATCAAGGTCAGACCAATAGTTTTTGAGTTATTCTTAATAACTTATAATGAAGTCGGCTGTACAAAATTTTTAATTATTTGAAATAGTTTTTTTTTTTTGGAAAGAGTTAAGTACAGTAAAAATTAACCTTATAACTTTTTCAATTTCACAAAACATTTAATATAGCATTGATACAATACTTAACTAGAAATGTTTGCCCGCTCATAACGATGGAATTTCTTTTTTTTATTCTGTTATTCGTTTTAACGTAGTATATATTCTTTTCTTTTAAAAAAAGAAATAACCAGTTTTTAAAATAAAATACTATACTAATAACGCTATTAATGTAGTGTCTCATTAGCCATTATATAATGTAGTATCTCATTAGCCACTCCAAAAGCTGAAATTATAAAGCGTTGCGCTATGAAGGATTTACGACAATAGTCGAGAGCACAGAGATGTAGAGTTTGAACCCTGTATTCAGTCGCTTTTTCACTGAATATACTGTACTATCGTAGTTTTATATCTTATTGTCAATTTCATTTCATTCATAAGTGCATTATTTAATTTTTATAATGTATTATTAACTAGTACCCGGAGCGTTGCTGCTACTGAAAAAATAATTGTGGAAGTATTATGATTTCTTATATTTACACGAACACTGTACATTGAATAAAACTACTTTTACGGATTCTATCGCGTTTAATTCACTTATTTTTATTAATTCACGACGTTCCGGGTGCTTTACAGCACCCATGGTAACGGGGGTGTAAACCCGAAACGTCGTGAATTAATAAAAATAAGTTAATTAAACGCGATAGAATCCGTAAAAGTAGTTTTATTCAATAAGGAAATAAATATTGTTTCAAATTTGGAGGAGTTACATTGTTTCATTAGGAATGATAATACATTTAATATATATCTTTCAAATAAATTTTTCAGTACGATACGCGCGCCACCTGCTGTAGGTTAATTGTATTATCCCTTTAACCTTCGCGCAAGCAAGTGCAAGCAATAAGAGATGAACTGTATTACAGTACGAACAAATAGACATGTTCTTTATATTTAAGATGTACTATAACCTAATGATATTATGTTTATATTGATAAAATTATAATTTTATTACTTCTAATGTTAAATAATGGTTTAAAAATTTCAATTTACAATTTTTTTGTTTAGTTAATTAAGAATAATAGGCCAAAAACAGCGTCAGTTCGTTCGACTTGCAGATCTGCGATAGTTGATCTGCAAACGAGTGGAGTAGAATCACAAGATTCATATCCAGAGCTCATCACTCGCTGTTCAGTCGAGTCAGTTAAGACCCTCCTGATGGCAACGTGTAATAATTTGCCTGAATTACTAGTACTGCAAACAACAGTTAACCTATAGTCTGTTTTTAAATGGTGCAGCGCCATCTAGCGAACGTTCTAAAACTTGTTGAGATAATGTTATGGTCGATGACCAGATAATTGCTTATCTGAATATGTCATCGTATCATCATATATATAATATATGAATAAAATAATCAAACAAATTTTATGTGTTTGATATCTTTCACAATACATTTTATTTAGCATAATACGTACGTATCATGTGTTACAGTACTTTTATAAAAGCAAACGTGCATTCAGTTCACCTTTATGGTAATATGATGCTGTGAAGTGTGAACCATACAAACTAATTCTCGAATTTTAAGAAACATAATTTAAAATTAAAAATTTTGTACAGCCGACTTCAATATAAGTTATTTAAGAATAACTTAAAAACTATTGGTCTGACCTTGATCAAATTCATATGGGACCACACGAGAAGTACCAGCTTTCAAATAAAAAAAGAATCATCGAAATCGGTTCACCCAGAAAAAAGTTCTGAGGTAACACACATAAAAAAAAAAAAAACGAAAAAAAAAAAACATACAGTCGAATTGAGTACCGGCTCCTTTTTGGAAGTCGGCAGAAAAGGCGGATCCGTTGCTGGTGGAGTATCGCGTTACTAGTAAAAAGGGTCTCCGATCCGCGTAACTTATCACAGAGCACAAAACACTAGTAGCTTTGACAGAAATATTAAAGAAATGCAGAAAAAACTTTCATTTATAAAAAAAAAAACTTTATCTCATAAAGAAAGGTAGAGCACGTGAAATATACGTAAACTCAATTCTAAGACACTTTACTTTCACTTGCATTTCTAAAAAATGGCCAGTATTTTAAATAGTTTTTTTTACCATAATAATTTTTTGCCTATAAAAAGCTGGAGCAGCGTCTTGCTACATATTTATTTATCCATGAGCAGCGTAAAGACAAAAATGCATTTACGATTTTTGTATAAACGCCAACTTTAACATATTACAATAAAACTCAAGTCTCTTGTACGTGGATCTTTCTTCTTCGACAATGAGGGCTAATGGTCTTTCGCTTCCGCACCAGATGTCGCTAGTTGGCACTGAGGTGAAGTTTTTTGTTACTCACTGTTTTTGTTAGTTTTAAATAAAAGTATATCAGTTTCTAGAGCATTAATACACAAAACTATGCCTCAGTGGCTTGCTCTTTAATTTTTTGCACATTTTTATACACTTTTTTTTATTTTCCTCTTTAAGAATATATAGAATATAGTTTGGTTTATTAATTTGTAATCTAATTATTATAAATTATAATTAATATTACGGAAAAATACATTAATCTTTACATTTTACTAACAATTTAACTTTGAAATCTGTCAAATATTTCACCTCATTCCAAAGGTGCGCCGCGCTGGTGGCGTGGAAAAGTCGTGGATTCATTCTATTTGAATAATTACTTTTTGCCATTAATCCATTAATCTTTGATTCGAACCTAGGGCATACAACCACAGAATAAAAAAATAGTACAAATCAGTACCTTTTTTTACATGGGGAAATGCCTACGCCTCGCGGGTGCAAGGACGGGTTTTGTCGGATTCGCACCGACTAAAATGATGTGACACCTTCATAGCATATCGTAACTCAGTACCTACACTGCTGACTATCTGACAGCAGGTATAATACAGGCCGTCTGTTGAGGATAGCACTGCCAGTAGATATTTAAAAAATATTCTGCAAAGTTCTTAAAATTATACAAAAGCTCCACTCGAGGAAAATTCGGTTAAATGTCCATTTTTTTTTATTCAAAAATATTACAAACAAACAGAATAACCGTTAAAAAATTATTCGCTATCATTATTTACTAAACAACTAATTTATTTGTAAGCATCACATTGTACTTATATATTTAAATCTAACTGTTTGGTCAGACAGACCGTTGACTCTAAGCTCATTTTATCTCTCATTCGATTTTTACAAAAATCTAAATATAACTTGGGATGGCAATAGCTTACAATCAGAGAAAGAATTTTAAGAAAAAATAACA